TTCAGAAAACGATTTTCATGCTTAAAAACTGCCATGAGTGAGTGTTCTTACCTGGGTGACTTTTCATTTTATCTACCAGACTAATAAATCCACATCATGCCCTATGTGCTCTAAATATAAGATATTTTCTTTTTCTTTTTTTATTTTTGATATTTTCTTTTTAAGCAAAGGACATATCTCCAAGCATTCATGCTGGCAGAAGCCACCCACCCACATTCATCCCCAGGAGCTATCTGGATCAGTTCATCACTGTGTTGAGCCCCTTCCCTTCCTAACAGAGGCCATTGGCTTTTGCCTATTTTTAAAATCTGATTGTTAGATTTTTTTTTTTCCTGTAGAGTTGTTTGAGCTCTTTATATATTCTGGTTATTAATCCTTTGTCAGACGGATAGTTTGCAAATATTTTCTCCCATTCTGTGGGTTGACTCTTTGTTGATTGTTTCATTTGCTGTGCAGAAGTTTTTTAACTGGATGTGATCCCATATGTACATTTTTGCTTTGGTTGCCTGTGGTTTTGGAGTATTACTTGAGAAATCTTTGCCCAGGCCAATCAGAGAGTTTCCCCAATGTTTTCCTGTAGTAGTTTCGTAGTTGGAGGTCTTAGATTGAAGTCTTTAATCCATTTCGATTAGATATTTGTATATGACTAGAGATAGGAGTCTAGTTTCATTCTTTTGCATATAGCTATACAGTTTTCCCAGCACTATTTATTGAAGAGACTGTCTTTTCCCCAGTGTATGTTCATGGCACTTTTGTTGAAAATGAGTTTACTGGAGATTTATGGATTTGTTTCTGGGTTCTCTATTCTGTTCCATTGGTCTCTGTTTCTGTTTTTATGCCGATACCATGTTGTTTTGGTTACAATAGCTCTGTGGCATAATTTGAAGTTAAGTAATGTGATTCCTTCAGTTTTTTTTCTTTTGTTCAGTATGTCTTTGGTGATTCTGGCTCTTTAAGATTCCATATAAAGTTTAGTATTATTTGATTATTAGGGAATTTTAAAAATATTGATTCTTCCAATTCCAATTCATGAACATGGAATATCTTTCCATTTTTTGGTATCTTCTCTAATTTCTTATATCAATGTTTTATAATTTTCATTGTAGAGATCTTTTTTGTTTGTTTTTGAGACAGTCTTTTTTTTTTTTTTTTAAGATGGAGTTTCTTCATGTTGGTCAAGCTGATCTTGAACTCCCGACCTCAGGTGATCTGCCCGCCTTGGCCCCCAAAGTGCTTGGATTACAGGTGTGAACTACCACACCCTGCCTGAGACAGAGTGTTGCTCTGTTGCCTAGGCTGGAGTATATAGTGCCATGACCAAAGCTCACTGCAGCCTCGACTTCCTGGGCTCAAGCAATCCTCCCACATCAGCTTCCCAACTAGCTGGGACCACAGGCTTAAGCCACCAAGCCCAGTTAATTTTTTTATTTTTAGTAGAGATGGTGTCTCACTATGTTGCCCAGGCTGGTCTCGAACTCCTGGACTCAAACAATCCTCTTGCCTCAGTGTCCCAAAGTATTGGGATTATAGGTGTGAATCATTGTGCCTGGCCTTTTAGAGATCTTTTACTTCATTGGTTACCTTAATTTCTAGGTATTTAATTTTATTTGAAGCTATTAAAAATTGGATTACCTTTTTGATTTATTTTTCAAATTGTTCACTGTTGGCATATCAACATACAAAAATCAGTAGCCTGATTTGTATGCTGCAATTTTTCTGAATTTATCAGTTCTAATAGTTTTTTTAGTGGAGTCTTTAGGTTTTTTTCCAAGTATAAGTTTATATCATCTGCAAACAAGAATAATTTGGCTTTTTCCTTTCCAATATGGATGCCCTTTATTTCTTACTCTTGTCTGATTGCTCTTCCAGTACTATGTTGAATGACAGTGGTGAAAATGGGCATCCTTTTTGTGTTCCATATCTCAGAGGAAAGGTTTTCAGTTTTTCTCCATTCACTATGGTACTAGCTTTGGGTCTGTCATATATGGCTTTTTGAGCTATGTTCCTTCTATGCCTAATTTTTTCAGGGTTTTTATCATGAACAGATGTTGAATTTTATCAGATGCTTTTTCAGCATCAATTGAAATGATCATATGGTTTTGACCCTCATTCTGTTGATATGGTGTATCACATTGATTGATTTATATATGTTCAACTATCCATGCATCGGAGGGATAAATCCTACTTGGTCATGACAGATGATCTTTTTATGAGTTTCAACATTTTGTTAAAATCTCAGTGTGACAGTTTTCAGATGATGGAAAAATAAAAGGAGTGACTTTCAGATGGAGAGCCCTTATTAAAACACAGATGTCTTCTATAAATAGAGTTAGAAAAATACTGTCAGTGAGCTCTTTGTGTATAAATGTTTCTTTTAACTTACCCATGCAGGATCTGAAATGGAAAGCTACTTCTCTTTCATCAGTCAGGAGGTTCATTACAACAGAATCATTGATGCATTGAGAAGAGAACTGGGTTCCAAATCTCACTCAGTGATCTAGAAGAGGAGAGGCAGCCAGTGTTCTGCCTCCCTCAATTTTTCGGATCAGGGTTCCTGTGGCTCTGCGTGTTTTGACCCAGCCTCTCCTTCAAAAATCTTCCATCTTCTCTCTGGCCACTCTGAAACATTGTTTCTTTGAATTCTAAGATAAGCTGTGATGTGTAACCTGTATTAATAGCTGTGATAAACTTCTGGAGCTATTGTCATCTCAAGGAGTTTTTGGTTATTGAAGAGTTTAAGTAAGCTGTCATGTTTTCTTTTGGAATTTCCATTTGGTCAAGTATAGCATACTGAAATAATACTCCTGAAGTCCATAGGATAATGACATTTTGGCATAGTAAGTCCCTGTTGTGCAAGATACGAAATGAATTTTTTTTACCCGGAAAGATCTTTGTGACTTCATGATTTTTCTACTGCCTCATTCATAATTCCTAAGCAGAAACACACGTATCTCAGTTTAGCTTCTTTGAATCAAACCAAGTCTGATGGTCTTATTTTGCGGCCAATGTGACCACATTTACAGGGTGAAAACAATCTTTTTGCAAGTAAAGCATTATGGTTTATGAAACCTGTGGGGTGTGCATTGAAATGATAAATAATATTTACACATGCACAGTAGATTGAGTTCTATAGAGGGTGAATGCTTTTAGAAGTAGACTTTCTGGCTGGGCACGGTGGCTCGAGCCTATAATCCCAGCACTTTGGGAGGCTGAGGTGGGTGGATCGCAAGGTCAGGAGTTCAAGACCAGCCTGACCAACATGGTGAAACCCCGTCTCTACTAAAAATACAAAAATTAGCTGGGCATGGTGCGTGCCTGTAATCTCAGCTACTCAGGAGGCTGAGGCAGGAGAATCACTTGACCTGGGAGGTGGAGGTTGCAGTGAGCTGAGATTGCACCACTGCACTCCAGCCTGGGTGACAGAGTAAAACTCTGTCTCAAAAAAAAAAAAAGGAGACTTTCCTCTGTGCATATGGGTAAGTGGTGTGCCCCGTGTTTGTTGTATTTAACTTCGGTGGGTTTAAATGATTATGAGGGGCTTTGGGTAGAGTTACTACAATATTAGTTCTAAAAGGTTCACAGACTTCTTTCTATATTTAACATGAAATGCGTTTTTCTTATAGATATATTTTTATGGTACTTGGGGGAGACTTTGAGTATGTGGGTTTAGTAATCTTTTTTTTTTTTTTTTTTTGAGGCAGAGTTTCGCTCTTGTTACCCAGGCTGGAGTGCAATGGCGCGATCTCGGCTCACTGCAACCTCCACCTCCTGGGTTCAGGCAATTCTCCTGCCTCAGCCTCCCAAGTAGCTGGGATTACAGGCACGCACCACCATGCCCAGCTAATTTTTTGTATTTTTAGTAGAGACGGGGTTTCACCATGTTGACCAGGATGGTCTCGATCTCTTGACCTCGTGATCCACCTGCCTCAGGCTTCCAAAGTGCTGGGATTACAGGCTTGAGCCACTGCGCCTGGCTGTTTTAGTATCTTATAAAGACACTTTTATTAAGATTATATAAGGCTCATGTATATATCTTCTTTTTGCACACTTAGAATGCCACAGAAGGGACTTTTTTGTGTTGGTGTCTTAAGACTCAACCAAGGTCAGCCATGACCAACCAGCCTAAAAATTTTCCCTCATTTTTTTTAAGGTATCAAAAACAGACATGATTGGCTGGGCATGGTGACTCACACCTGTAATCCCAGCACTTTGGGAGGCCAAGGCAGGAGGATCACCTGATGTCAAGAGTTCGAGACCAGCCTGGCCAACATGGTGAAACTCTGTCTCTACTAAAAATACAAAAATCAGCCGGTTGTGTTGACACATGCCTGTAATCCCAGCTACTCAGGAGGCTGAGGCAGGAAAATCACTTGAACCCAGAGGCAGAGGGTGCTGCACTCTAGTCTGGGCGACACAGTGAGACCCTATCTCAAACAACAACAAGCCAGACATGATTTATTTGTTTATTTTTTCTTTATTTCTTCTAAAAACAAACAAACAAAAATGGGATACATGTGCAGAACGTGCAGTTTTGTGCCATGGTGGTTTGCTGCGCCTATTGACCCATCCTCTAAGTTCCCTCCCTTCACCATCCAACAGGCTCTGGCGCATGTTGTTCCTTTCTCTGTGTCCATGTGTTCTCAATGTTCAACTCCCATTTATGAGTGAAAACATGTGGTGATTTCTTTTCTGTTCCTGTGTTAGTTTGCTGAGGATGATGGCTTCCAGCATCATTCACATCCCTGCAAAGGATATGATCTCATTCCTTTTTATGGCTGCATAGTATTTCATAGTGTATATCAGACATGATTTCATGAGCTGTTATTAACAATGTTTTTCTGGCCAAGTCAACATGAAATAATATTGGTCTTGAGTAGAATAATTCACCTTAATGGAAGTGATACTTTAATGTAATTAGATGTATTTTTCATCTAAAGGAGCATGAAAATATCTTGGCTATTGCCTTTGACTCTCTTTTCTTGTTCTATTTAATATTCTAGGTACGACACCGAGCTTCTGGTCAGGTGATGGCTCTTAAGATGAACACGTTGAGTAGTAACCGGGCAAACATGCTGAAAGAAGTACAGCTCATGAATAGACTCTCCCATCCCAACATCCTTAGGTAATGGCTTTTCCTTCCTTCTGATAAATGAGACAGCTGAAACTTTGGAGGCTCGCTACACTAGCACTAATAGCAAAAAAAGGAGGGATTCAGGATTTATCATGCTGAATCTAACTTGTTGGGGTTTAGCGGTACTCTGTTTTCTACCCATCGAGACTTAATTTATTGGTAATTAACTGCATTTAATAAAGAAACTTTCTCTGTCTCTTAAGTTGCTTTACTCTAATTAAAACATTAGTAGTGCTCATTAGAACAGTTGTTTTCTTTTTTTTTTTCCTTTTTTTTTGAGATGAAGTCTCACACTGTCGCCCAGGCTGTAGTGCAGTGGCACAATCTCAGCTCACTGCAATCTTCACCTCCTGGGTTCAAGCAATTCTCCTGCCTCAGTCTCCTGAGTAGCTGGGACTATAGGCATGTGCCACCATGCCCAGCTAATTTTTTTGTCTTTTTAGTAGAGATGGGGTTTCACTGTATTGGCCAGGATGGTCTCGATCTCCTGACCTTGTCCGCCTGCCTCAGCCTCCCAAAGTGTTGGGATTACAGGCGTGAGCCACTGTGCTCGGCTGAAAACAGTTGTTTTCTATTGCTGATTGGTAATTTATCAAAGAGGAAAGATTGGTCTTTATATGGTTATTTAATTTTCCTGATTGCTTTATGGGAAACTGTAATTAAATCAATGTGACAATAAAAGTAAAATTACGCCCTCAAGTTATCTATCCTTAACTTTTAGCACTCACTTGAGGAGACACATTTTGCCTTTGAGAATTATTATTATTTTTTGAGATAGGGTCTCACTCTGTCACCCAGGCTGGAGTACAGTGGCATGATCATGGTTCACTCCATGGTTCGACCTCCTGGGCTCAATTGATCTTCCCTCACTCAGACTCTGGTGCAGCTGGAACTACCCATGTGCCACGATATCCAGCTAATTTTTGCATGTTTTGTAGAGTCAACAAAGTTCCACCATGTTGCCCAGGCTGGTCTCAAATTCCTGGGCTCAAGCAATTTGCCCTCCTCAGCCTCCCAAAGTAGAGAGTTATTTTTGTAAGTTTATATAATTCACTTTTTAATAATCTGTATCTGAATCTTTCTTGCTTTAATTATTTTGATATTTTAGTCAGGCAAGTATATTTTCTTTTAAAAAAATTTTTTTATTTGGTTGGGAATGGTGGCTCATGCCTATAATATCAGCACTTTGGGGAGGGCAAGGTGGGTGGATCTCTTGAGCCCAGGAGTTCAAGTCCAGCCTGGGCAACATGATGAAACCCCATCTCTACAAAACAACAACAACAACAAAAACAACCAAAAAAATTAGCCAGGTATAGTGGCATGCGCCTGTAGTTTCAGCTACTCTGGAGGCTGAGGTGGGAGGATCTTTTGAGCCCATAAGTTTGCAGCTGCATTGAGCCATGGTCGCAGCACTGCACTCCAGTCTGAATGACAGAATGAGATCCTGTCTTCAAAAATATATATATTTTATTAAAAAAAAATATTTTTTATGCCATCTTGACTAGAGCCCATGTGTGTGTGTGTGTGTGTGTGTGTGTGTGTGTGTATATATATATATTTTTTTTTTTTTTAAATAAGACAAGGTCTCACTGTGTCGCTCAGGCTGGGATTACAGGTGTAATCCACCACACCTGGCCAATTATATTTTCAAATAAGACAATTCAATTAATTCAATGTATATTTAGTTAGGGTTTATGTGCAGGATGCTTTGGAAAGTTTAAAGTGCTATTTACTTAGGGTTAATTATTGCTAATTTGTATATGGTCTCTAGAGAGAACTCATGGCTTAAGTATGACTTACATGTTTGGTCAATGGTATTTAATTATGGAATTAAATTACACTGTTTAGTTGAAACTTTCAATGTTTATATAGAATTACTGGCTTCCTAGTCTACTACAAAAATATTCAGCTAGTATTTTTATTGCGATAAATTCTTTCAAATGTGTAAGTCAGATTAACCCTTTTTTTTTTTGAGACGGAGTTTTGCTCTTGTCACCCAGCATGGAGTGCAATGGTGCGATTTCGGCTCACTGCAATCTCCACCTCCCGGGTTCAAGCCTCCCAAGTAGCTGGGATTACAGGCGCCTGCCACCACACCTGGCTAATGTTTGTATTTTTTTAAAGACAGGGCTTCACCATGTTGGCCAGGCTGGTCTCATACCTCAGATGATCCACCCACCTCAGCCTCTCAAAGTGCTGGGATTACAGGGGTGAGCCACTGTGCCTGGCCAGATTAATACATTTTTTGAGCATCTACTATATGCCTGGTGATATATTCAGACATCAGAAAGGTGTCAAAGTATATATAAAATGGAGTATCTGCTAGCAAGGAATTTATACTTTACTTGTTCTACTTGGGGACTTACACTGATGGAAAGAGAACTAATAAATTAACTATGACACCACCATTTGAGTAGAATAAACTCTAAGTGCTATAGGAGTTCAAATGAGTGAGGGGTCATATTAACTTTGAAGAGTCAGGGAAGCCTTCTAAGAGGAGGGGACTTGAACTGGACTTTGAATTTTTAAAAAAATTACTTTTAATTTTTGTGGTACATGGTAGGTATACATACTTATGGATTACATAAGGTATTTTGATGCAGGCATATAGTGAGTAATGATGAACCTTGAATTTGAATAGGATTTTAGAAGATAGGGGAGAAACTCAGAAAAAGCAAATAGTGATATAGAAAGCACAGATATAAAAATGCAAAGCTTTTTGAGGAGTCAGTGAATAAACACTCATTTGGCTAATAATGATAATAATAATAACAACCTTTTATTGAAGACTTGTTGTATACTATGTATGTTACTTATTTAAAGATTTAATCTTCACACTCACTCTCCATTGAGGCCAAGAGATTATGTATGGGCCAAAGTCTCCTCTAAGGCCTGGGTTCTTTCCACCAGGATTCTCTTAGAAGAACTGAGGATTTGATAGGATAGTATTGGTAGATAAAGGTGGAAAAGTAGAATTGGGTCAAATTACCCAGAAATGCTTTGCATAAATCCAAAGTTGTAGTTTATGATCTGTGATTGGATTCTGAGCAGGAACTAGAATGATAAGGTAATTGATGACAAGATGTAGAATGGTTTAGTGTTAGGGAGACTGGTAGCAAAGAGATCAGTTAGGGGGCCTCTACTATGTTTGAGAGTGAGGTAGATGAGGCTTAATTTGATATTCTGCTTAGGAATTTTTAAGATGATCATATTTTAAGTAATATAATCATCTAGCTTAAAAAGTCATATTTTAATTTTTTTATTATTACAGAAGTGATACATGATTGCAATGGAAGCATTTAGAAAATAGAATTAGTAAGAACAACAAAACAAAACTAGCTCTCAATCTCAGCATGTAGGGCTAAAACTAGTATTAGCATTTTGGCATCTTTCCTGCTTATTCTACCATTCCTTTTCTCATTCTCTTCACTATCAACTGAGCTAGGAAATGCATGACAGGTTGACTTTAAATTCATTTTATTCCATTACAGCAAAATTTTTAGATATAGTTGTAATATAATAAAAGTGGTATAGTATAACCTGAAACTGTAAAACTACTAAAAGAAAACATAATGGAAAAGTCTCCATGAGATTGGTCTAGACAATAATTTTTTAGATGTGCACAAGCAACAAAAGCACAAATAGACAAATGGGATTGCATCAAACTAAAAGCTTCTGTGCAGCAAAGGAAACAATAAAGAGGCAACACTTAGAGTGGAAGAAAATATTTGCAAATTATACATCTAATAAGGGGCTAATATCCAAAATGTATAAGGAACTCAAACACCTCAATAACAAGAAAACCCAATTTTTAAAATGAGCAAAAGACCTGAATAGATATTTCTCAGTAGAAGACATAAAAATGACCAACAGGTTCATGAAAAAATACTCAACATCCTTAATAATTAGGGAAATGAAAATTATAACCACAATGAGATATCACCTCTGGCCAGATGCAGTGGCCCACGCCTAGGTAGGAGGATTGTTTGAGCCTAAGACCAGCCTGGGCACCATAGTGAGACCCTGTGTCTATAAAAAAATTAAAAAAAAAAATCACCACTCCACACCTGTTTGAATGGCTGTTATCAAAATGAGGAAAGATAAGTGTTTGCAAGGGAACTCTTGTACACTGTTGGCTGGAGTGTAACTTAGTACAGCTATTATAGAAAACAGTGTGAAGTGACCAGGCGCGGTGGCTCAAGCCTGTAATCCCAGCACTTTGGGAGGCCAAGGCAGATGGATCACGATGTCAAGAGATCGAGACCATACTGGTCAACATGGTGAAACCCCGTCTCTACTAAAAATACAAAAAATTAGCTGGGCATGGTGGCGCGTGCCTGTAATCCCAGCTACTCAGGAGGCTGAGGCAGGAGAATTGCCTGAACCCAGGAGGCAGAGGTTGTGGTGAGCCAAGATCGCGCCATTGCACTCCAGCCTGGGTAACGAGCGAAACTCCGTCTCAGAAAAAAAAAAAAAAAAAAGAAAAAGAAAACAGTGTGAAGTTTCTCAAAAACCTAAGAATAGAACACTTTATGATCCAGCAATCCCACTTCTGGGGATATATCAGAAGGAACTGAAACCAGTATGTCAAAGAGGTATCTGCACTCCCATGTTCATTACAGCATTATTCACAATAGCCAAGATATGGAATCAACCCAAGTGTCCATCAACCAATGAATTGATAAGATTGTGGTATATATACACAATAGAGTACTATATGGCCTTTAAAAATAACGCAGTACTTGGCTGGGCATGGTGGCTCATGGATATAATCCTAGCACTTGGGGATGCCCAGGTGGGGATATCACTTGAGCCCAGGAGTTTGAGACCAGCCTGGGCAACAAAATGAGGCCCTGTCTCTACAAAAAATTTAATTAAGAAAAAGCAGGAGGCCAGGCAAGGTGGCTCATGCCCGTAATCCCAGCACTTTGGGAGGCCAAGGAGGGTGAATCACCTGAGGTCAGGAGTTCAAGACCAGCCTGGTCAACATG